CCTTGTCTTGCTGTTTTCAACTGGTTCCTTATTATAATCATGCTTCTAACTATTCCGGCCCCTACAGTATCTTTCCCATACCTTGAAGCGGCCCTGTTTGCTGTGGCCAGGTGCAGCTACATGGGCCTCACCGAGCCTTTGGATGCATCTTAAGAGGTGTCCAACATGATTCCTAGGGGCTCGCCATGATAAGCAGACGACAAGATACTATAATCGAATATAAGTATCATGTAAAATAATAGTCCATAATATTCTATAGGTATGCCCCGAAACCCCTATTGAATCTAGCAAGGCCCGGTGCACCAAACTCACGATCCCCCTTCTTAAAAGCCCTAAACGCCAAACCCTAACCCTGAAGCTCTGCAGTCTTGAGCTCTACGTCAACTCCCAAGGCTAAAGGCTTACAGTACAGATCGTCGTCCTTTTATTCAAGTGGTAGACGCAGCTATGCACTTATGAGAACCCTCAATCGCCTCAGGTTTGGTTCTGGTGGGTAAGGGCATAATTAAGGCCCTTGGGCTCGATTCGCAGACAGCCGGGCCTCAGTCACAGTAGCCTGCACTTCAGAAATTGCAGCCCGCATCCCAGATCCTGTCCCCGGCTGCGCCGGCTGTGGCCTGGTGCAGGTCCTGCGGTATAGGGTTGAGGCGTTTAGGCGTACCCTAAACTTTCCCTAAGCACGAAACCCTATTTTAAATGAACCCTCAACCCTCTGACCTGCCGGCCCTGCCAAGGACCAGCGGTGGGTTTGGGGAGATGATTGACCATGCAGCCGGGATTCGGCCGTGCAGGCTTTAGGGCTTGCGCGCGTCCAGTTTCCCAACCCAAAAAGAACGCTGACCCAAAGAGGTAGTCATCAGTAGTCTCCTCTAACTCTGACCGCCTGGCAACGCTTGGCTGGAAAAGATGCGTCAGGGTTGGCGGCCCTGAACCCAAAGACTAGTACCCGGAACCCTAAGCCCGAATCCCCAAAACCCCTACGAACCCCGGGGTGTCGTCATGAGTTTTTGGAGGTTGTGAGAACTTTGTAAAATTTAGGGTTGCAGGGGTTTAAAGCTTGGGGCTTGCAGGGGTTTTGGGGGGGTTCAGGGTTCGAGGGTCTAGTTAAGTTCAGTTTCAGGGTTATGGTTGGGAAAGCTTGTGTTTTGCGAAACTTTGCGTTTTGCGGAAGTTTATGGCTTTGTGCTCGTCTCGATTCCTTGGTTTTGTGGCGTTTTGGTGGGAATAGACAGAGGGACGGCAGAACCCTAAACCCTCAACCCACCTGCTTGACGCCTTGGTCTGATAAACCTCCCAAACACCCTTCATCCTACACCCGCGGATGCAGGGCAAGGAGCATGGCGTCGGGGTGAGGGTCTATAACTCTCAAACCCTATAATATAGGAGCCTTACTGATGACTTATACTATTTCGGGGGGTTCCTTCTTATAATTATAGGAAAATATACCACCAAAGCCCTATTCTAATTATTCAGGCCCCTACATTACCCGGATCCGGTTTAGGGTGTAGGGTTGATCGACGGATATTGAAAGGTGCTGACTGTCAGACTTCAGCTCGGCAGCCGCCAAAAACCAAGGAGGGTTTCAGTTGAGGGTGAAGGGTTGAGGGTTCAGGGTGTAGGGTTTATGGCTGACTGAACTTTCGGGTTCCGTTGTACTTCAGCTCGGCGAGGTTTGCTAGAGCAGGGGCCCCGAAAAGATTTGCAATACTGAGAAGAACCGTGCACGAAGGGTCTATTCCGCTGCTGGCTCAGGCACGAGCTGTTTCTCTTGGGGCCACATTTTTCGCTCAGGTTTGTTGCAAGCCTGGAGTTTTCTGTCCGAAGGGGTTCGGGGGTGTAGAGTCCCCGAAACCCAGCCGCCCGATATAGAGGCACCCCTGTTATGACACCAAGGAACCTGTAAGGAGCCTGTTAAGTGAAAGGAGCACGTGAAGGAACCCTTAAAGGAGCCCTCAGAGAAGTCCTCTTGAAGCTCTCGAAGCCGCCTGACACCCTTCAGCACCCGCATCCGAGCCCCACCTCAAACCCAACTCAGACCGCAACGCTGCACCTGACACCCTTAAAGCAGCCTAGACCCCAAAAGCCCCTGAACCCCAAGCCCAAAACCCCAAAAAGCACCCCATACGCCCTCTTTGCCGCGTCGCCACGTAGAAGCCCTCGGGGGCTCCGTCCATGGCGGGTGCGGCGGAGGTGAAGCCGAACCTCGGACGATAAGTGCAGAACTCCCGCACCACAAGGACAAAAGGCGGTTTGGGTTTAGGGTGTAGGGTTTAGGGTTCTGCAGATACTGCTGAAAAAGGCAGTATCAATATCAACCGCATGAGGGTTGAGGATTTAAGGTGCGAGATTGCAGGTGAGAAGAACAAAGGGGAAAAATGGTGGTCGGCATAGAGCTTGCAATGAGGGTGTCCACGCTAGCAGCAGTCGCCAGAGGCGTGCAATCAAGCAACTCGGCAGGAACACAGTCCGGCGAAGCACGAGCAGATGTTGGAACAAGAACACGGAGAATGACCACTGATGATGACTTCCACCCTGAACGGTGTTGAGTACAACATACTTGTATGCAACATCAAGAACCAGCTTCATCATCGATAGCATAAATGCCGGGATGCAGCGTCATTATCCGTAAACCCCAAAACCCCAAGCCATAAACGCGGAACCCCAAACCCTTCAACCCTGAACCACAAGCCCTACACCCTTAAACCCCAAACCCTAAACCCCAAACGCTAGAACCCTAAACCACAAGCCCTGCACCCTAAAACCCTAGACCGTAAACCCCAGACGCTAGAACCCTAAGCCACAAGCCCTACACCCTAAATCCCTAAACCCTAAACCCCCTAAGCACCAAGCGCAGCTAAGGATTTGGGCTGAGCCAAGGACGGGACGCTTCAGGATCTGAATGGCATGTGCAATATGTGTAGGGGGCAGTTGATTTCAGGACCACGCTTCCCAGTATGCGGTTGCATGTAGTGCAGAATTTCGTGTTTTCTAAGTTGACGTAACATGGTACATGTATACATATATATATATATATATGTATATACATATTCTTGTTGTATCTATACATTAGTATATCTCGGCCCCTTAGTTCCTAAACTTTCATCCCTAAACCCTCAATCCTAAACCCTAACCCCTAAACCCTAAACCGTAACATGGGATTGACGGAAAACGCCAGGCAGCCGCATACAGAGGGTATACCGCGACTCCAGGCAGATCTGCCTTGCAAGAGCGCTCGTGTTCAGGGGCTTTAGGGCTTTAGAGTTTAGGGTGAAGGGACTTTGGGGTTCAGGGTTTAGGGTTTAGGGTTAGTTCAGGGTTTAAGTCCTTGGGATTGCGGTTTAGCGTTCAGGGCTCCAGGGATGTGGGTTTTGATTTTCGGGACCTCTCGGCTTATCAGTCATCCTACAGAGTTTTGGATGTCCAGGCCTCGAAGCTCCATCGATGCTATTTCTCAGCTTTCCGTCAATCTCGGAGATACTTTGCATCCTTCCAAAGCCCAAAACAAAGCTCTCAACAACATGACCCTAACCCTAGACCCTAAACCCTAAACCCGGCCCTAAACTCCAGGCCGTAGCCCAAAAGCCTAAAGCTCTTGACACGTTGCCTTACTTGCAGGCACAAACTTCAAATTCCTAGCAGCCGCAGAGTGGGGTGTAGGGTTCGGGGTTCAGGGTTAGGGGTTTAGGGGGTAGAGGCAAGCATTCAAAGTGAGAAGAGCTCCAGCAATATCACAAATATCATCGTCGGCGTCGCCACGACCGGCAGCACCAGAACTACCGTCACCATGGTCATCCTCCTGCTCATGACCGTCTCATCTTCATGCTCATTCTCAGTCTTATCCTCATCATCACCAGCGTCGTCATCATCATCATCATCGTCATCGTCATCGTCATCGTCATCGTCATCGTCATCGTCATCGTCATCGTCATCGTCATCGTCATCGTCGTCATCGTCATCGTCGTCATCGTCATCATTGCCATCGTCATGGTCATCGTCATCGTCATCATCATCATCATCATCATCATCATCACCATCCTCATCCTCATCCTCATTCTCATCCTCCTCATCATCATCCTCATGCTCATCCTCCTCCTCATCATCATCATCATCATATCACTGAGTCATCAACTTCAACAGCAGCATCGGCATTGCAGTGCTCTTCTCCTGCTTCGCCACTACCATCACTATCAACAGCATCTTGCGTATCATCGTCGTCGCCGGCGTCGTCATCGTCATCGTCGTCATCATCATCATCATCATCGTCATGGCCATCAGTACCATTTTCCTCATCCACAATAGTTCTCCCCTTCCTCACATCACTAGTCGTCACCGCAACCTGCTTCTTGTGGCTCCCAAATCTAAAGCCTGCCCTCAAACGCCCGAAGGCTGCATTATCGGAACCGCGGATCCATCAACAGCCCGTAGCCTTCATTCCGTCCTAAGCTCGATTCAAAAATGCTCCCAAAGTCCAGCTTGCCCGAAATCCTTTGCAAGGTGCCTGCTTCGGATGCCGGTGCCCGCCGGAACACGCGGGATCACAGAAGGGTGTAAGTAAGATGCAAATCGTGCCCTCACGCGCTACAAAACCCGCAACCCTGCTTGGACAGCATGGCGCCCAGATTAAGTCGACCCCAAGTTTCCCAAAGCCTTGAGCCTTGTGCTTAGGCTGCTCAGGGTTTATGCAGAGGTACCGTTTATGCTGCGCCGTGCTCTTTTCAGACAGTTGCAAGCATGAAATTGGCTCCAGACTGAGATGCACTCTGGATGTGAGAGCCGGGCTGAGCTAAAACTCCGATGAACGTACATCTCGGCAGCTGCAGGATGCAGAATTTCAGGGTGTTCATATTATGGTCAGTGGCGAATCAACCGTAGCGGTGCGTGCTTGCAAAATCCTGCGCCAAAACCTCAACTCTCATAGCCTCCAACATCCCAAGTGCGACTTTCATCACCTCGACGTTTCGAAGCTGGCCCCAAAACAGTTTAGGGTTTAGGGTTCAGGAAAGCCTAATTCAGCTATTCTCTCGCCCCTGAGCCGGCTGGCTCAGTACTATGGGCTTGAAGACTTGAAGACACAGGATCTTGCAGGATTGGGTACTCTAGAAACATAAGCAACCCCACGGAATGCTTTTGTATTTGTTGAGTCCCTTACATATATATATATATATATGTACACACACACACACACACTTTTTTACATATGTGTATACATATGTGACGGATCTGCAAAGCAGGTACGGATGTCGTGTCTGCCGAAGACATTGAAGAGGACTGCAGCCGTCGAAAGGTTTTCAAATTGCCGAAGCCCGAAGCTGTCCCTCCTGTCAGCACCCCTCCCTGTAGTAGAGGGACCTGATGACTAGAATAGGGCCTTGCGGTTTACTATTGTTTGATGATAGGGGGCTGCCGAATTGCAGAGATTAGGGTCTTGGGTCCGTTCTCTTACGATTATGAAGGGACTATGCAATTGATGAAATCAGGGTGTTTATGGCTGTTGTAGAATAAGTGTAAATGGACCATGTTTACTGAGGTCAGGATTTTGGGAGCTATTGTCGTCAACCCCTAACTATCTCGCGATCTATATACCTATCCATCGATTAAACAAATGATGTGTGTGTACATGTATATATATATATATAACTTTGCTTATTCATGATATATCCTTCTAGGCTCGCCGGGTAGGGGTGGTCCACCTCTTGTTTTAGGTCGCGGGTGTCTTGGGATTGCCTTAACAGGGTGGGGTTTGGGGATTTTGGGGCATGCATTTTGGGGTTTCAGAGGTTGTGCGCACGATGCTGGCGGCGGTTGGGAATCTGCTGGTCAGGGTTGCACGGCGACCATGGGTTGCGTTCCACATCCCAAAAACCTACGGTGAACAAGCCCAAATTATGGAATGAGTGCTAGTATCCCTTTGCAGTCTCGAGAAGATCATTCCTCTATATATATATATATATAGACACACACACACACACACCCACAGGGGCCGTTTTGTTGTCATTCAGGGCCTGTATCTCACCTCAAATCCTTAAGTAACATTAACATCCGTTTACCGTACACCCTAAACCCACACACACCCCAAATCCCAAAACCCGACAACCCAGGCCTGAATGCCTGAACAGAGGGCTGGAACAGTTCCCAATCCTATCCCTTTAGATTCCTTCTTATAGTTGTTATTTATGCTGTAATCTACCACAAACCCTATTCCAATTATTACAGCCCCTATACTATATGAACCAAGCACGCAAGGATGACCTGCATCTCAGCCCGCTCACGGATCGCGACCCACTGCCGCCGGCACCGGCCCCTGCGGTGCCTGGGCAGGCAGAGGCCCCTAAGACTCTAGAAGAGGGTTCTTGAAGGGTTTTATTGGGTACAGCACGAGGTTAGTTTTGGGGCTTGTAATGAATAGGGTTTAGTATGTGGTGCTGCTGTTAGTAGGGCACTAATTGGGGTTGTATGTTCTATCCTAGTTATGACCTTGCCTAGAACCTTGGTTACTAAGTCCCATGGGACTTTAAGTAGACCCTAAGCTCCCAAAACCCTAAACCCCCAAACCCCAAGACCCTAAACCTCAAAAATTCCAAAACCCCTAAACCTCTAACTCCTAAACCAAAACCCTGCGAGGACTCCGAAGCGAGCTCAGGGCCCGGGCGGACGGCGCCCCCGGAGATGCGGCCGCCCTCGGCGCCCCAGCACTGAAAGCAGGAGGGTTGGATTAAGAGTGCCTTTGAGGGTGTAGGGTTTAAAGCTTAAGGGCTATCGGGTTTAGGGCTTAGGGTTTGTAGGTTTGCATATTGGAGGGAGGAGGTAGGGTGTTTAGATGGTTTGACTTGGGTATGGCCTAATCTGCACCGAAACCCCGTTGAACCCTACTCGAATCTTGCAGGCCCCGTTCATTGTCCTAAACTTCAAGCCCCAAACCCCTGACCCCCTTTTAAGGTCTCTGCTTCTGTTGACACCCAGGCCGATCCTTCCGCTCAGCCAGAGACAGCGTCTGCTGCAGGCTTTATCGGGTTTAGCTTCGAGTTTAGGGTGTCGGGTTTAGGGTTTAGGGTGTAGGGTTTAGGGTGTAGGGCTTAGGGTGTGGGGTTTAGGGTGTAGGGTTTAGGGTTTAGGGTTTAGGGTGTAGGGTTTAGTTTCGGGTTTAGGGTTTAGGGCTCAGCAGCTCCGGATCGAGCACTGTCTAGTCGAGTTTGCTCTTCGGAACATGGAAAAATGCCCACCCACCCAGAGCATTCAGAAACATACAAAGTTTACCATTTCCCGAAGCCCCAAACGAAGTCCTAAACCCTACTAAACGAAACCTTAAACGGAACCCTTAACGGAATCCTACAGGGAACCCTAAGCGAAGATCTAAACGAAGCCGTAACCGAAACCTTAAAGGGAACCTAAGCGGAACCCTAAAAGCAAGTCTAAGCGAAGGTCTAAACGAAGCCGTAACCGAAACCCTAAACGGAACCCCACAAGGATTCGGATGGCTATTTCAGGGTTCGGACTATGGGCAGTGGGGGAGCGAGGAGGGGTTCAGGGGTTGACGGGTTAGAGATTTGGGGGTCTGGGGGTTTTGGTCAGGGTTTGGGGTTAGGGTTTAGAATTTGGGGTCTAGGGTTTCGTCTTTAAGCCCAAGCCCCAAGCTAAGCTAAGCTTTGGCCCTAACTGCTAAACGCTGGTAGCTTCCAGAGAAACGCACGAGTCGGTCTGTGCTTCACAGACACGAGTCTATATAGGGCGGAGGCATAAGTTCTAGGTTTAGGGTTTGGGGTTGTGGGTTTCCCGGCTTTTTGGAGAGGGTCTCCAAGGCTCTTGTTCGAGTCTGTTTTACGGCGGAGTTCGCGAGTTTGCCGTTCGGGCCTTCGCACTTGCAGTCATATCCCGGGGTTCGCAGTTTTCATGCCGGGAGTCAACCCGAAGTAGCCATCCCATCCGCCCCCAAATCTGAAGACTTCAAGATCAACTTAGAGAGCTTTGTGCTCCGGATTTTCTGACCCCTTACATGTGCGCAACCGAGGGGCTTCCAATGTTCCAGCCGTCAGGTGGCAGCGAGGCGACGCAGGTGACACCGATACCTCAGCCCGAAGCTCCCGAACAGGGACGGCTTCCCGGCACAGGCTTTAGGGTTTAGGGGGAGTTTAGGGGTTCGTGGCACAAGAGAAATCATGAGGCGCCCCAAGGCAGACAGCAAAATAGCTGGATCCTTGCAGGATGAGGATCCTTTAGTCATCGGGAGCACAGCTGTTGAGCCTCAGGAGGAACTCAGGCGCTGCAGGTGTCAAGACCACGACAGGAACTGAAAACTGTAGTGCCAAGATCCTGCAAAGGAGCCCAAGCTTTAGCAGCACCCAGGTGCTTTCACATGCTGGCTGGGGTTTTCATGTCTCTGAGTCTGACGAGGGGTTCGAGGTCCAATATAGTAATATAGGGGTCTCAAGCTGCAAAGCTTCCGATGCTGAGGTCTGCCTTCTTTCAGCGTTTCCGGAAGAAGATGAAGATGGATCCGGGCACGCAGACCAAGGCCTGAGGAGTGAGAATGGATTCAGAGTTTCGTGTGCGGGCTTTGAGTTTCAGGATTGAGGTTTTGGGTCTTAGCTAATTAGGGCCCTGACACGAAGTATGTAGGCCGAGCCAGTCTGACATGACCCCAAACCCTTTTGACCCCCAAACCCCAAAGTCATTTGACGCACTCCAAAGGAGGCAAGCTTGAATTGCCGTTTTGGAGTCGTAAAGCCTAAACACCCGGCCCTAAAGCCCTAAAGCCCCGAACCTTAGACCCTGAGCCCTGAAGCCTCACCTGCCCCTTTAAACAACAGCTCTTTGCTCATGGCCCTTGTCTTTGAACCAACACCGAAGATCAAGCCCAAAACTGAACCACCGAGTTGGGGCTTAGGTTTGGAATCTCCCCCCTAAACCCTAAACCCTAATCCCTTAAATCCAAGACTTTCAACCGTCAACCTAAAAACCCCGAGCCTGTCAGCTTGAGCCGCAATTCCAAGGCTTTAGTCGTCAAGGACCGAAGCATCTAATATAGGGGCCTACACAAATTCAAAGTACTACATTATTCTTTTTTTGGAGTGGGTTCCTTATTGTAAATATAGTAAAAGGGGCCCCAAAGCCCCATTCTAATTATTAAGGCTCCTATACTAAGCACATCAGCCTACCAGGCCTTCATGGCCACCTCGAGTCGGCAGAGCCGGGGGATGCTGCTTGCCTCGTTTGTTTTGCAGGAGGTTCAGGGTTTAGGGTTTAGGGATTTGGGTTTTGGGTTTATGGTTTTGAGTTTAGGGTTTAGGGTTCGGAGATGATTCGCCGTCGTCTTTCAGTAGTGGTCCTCGGCGTAGGAGGAGGGGGACAAGCAGCAGCGCCTCCAACAGGTCATGAGGCCAGCAAGAGCAGCAACAGCCCACGTAGCACTCGGGTTTAGGGTTTAGGGTTTAGGGTTTAGGGACTCGTGGTGGTAGCAGGAATCGTGGCGTTAGACACCGTTCCTTGTTGATTTCGAGCATCGAAGTCTGACTCCAGAGGTCACAACCTCCACGACTGAGAGCTTCTGGAGCCATTCTAGTGTTCAGGTCTAGGGGTTCAGGGTTTAAAGATTTAAAGTCTGTGGTTTAGGGCTTATGGTTTAGGGTTCATGGTCTTGGGTTTGGCTTCATGTGGTTGTGCGCTCTCAGATTCGAAGCTCCGGAAGGACTTCGGGACTAGGGTTTAAGGTTTGGGCTTTAGGGTCTAAGGTACGTGTCGTGGAATCTGCAGGTAAGCCGTGTGCATCCAAGACACAGCCCGAAATCCATGATCTTGCGGGACGCCCTGCTATGGTAATTGTTCAAAGCAAGCGCTCTGCAGCCCTTGAAATCTGCCTCCCGCACCCTATCCCTGGTCTAAGCCCTGAGCCCACCTAAGCCCCACGCCCCCAAAGCCCTAAACCCGAAACCCTAAACCCCGAACCCTAAACACCGGAGACCCCCTGAGCCCGGGCCCAGTCGAAGCTTGACCACCGTGAACTTCGGGAACCAGACCTCCGAGGCGGATACTCGCCGCTCGGCGATGGCCCTTCCGTTTAGGGCTTAGGAGTTTGGGGTTGGGGGTTGAAGGTTTGAGGTTTAGGGTTGAGGGTTTGGGCTCAAGGCTTGGGGTTTTGAGTTAAGGGTTTAAGAAAGTTTAGGGTTGAGGGTTAGGGTATCAGGTTTAGTGTTGAGGGTTTAATATGTAGGAAGAACTAGTTATACCAGGTTAGTAATGTTCTAGTGCAAGCGAAAGCATGAAGCATGGTATAATATACGCACCCAGAACCTTTTTCACATGAGTAATTTCGGCGCCTATTCAACCCTAAACCCTAAGCCCTATTTGCCCTATTTTAGGATTTGGGGCTTAGGTTTGTAGGGCTCAAGGCTTCGAGCTTCCGCTCCGGTATACTCTCTCTGGAGGTTCCGATCGCCATCATAATATAAGGGGCCTTATGAAGTACCGATTAGGGTTTAGGGTTTAGGGTTTAGGGTTTACGGCCTATACTATTTTGGAGGGTTCTTTGTTATAGTATACCCCAAAACCCTAGTCTTATTTTTTAGGGCCCCCCCCCCCCCATATGAACAACCGTGGAGTCCAAATCCCTCCCAAGGCCCAGAGCCGGAAATGCTCCATGCCTTCACCCTACACCCTAAACCCGTGAACCCTAACCCCTAAACTCGGCCCTAAACCTTAAACCCTAAGCCCTAAACCCTAAACCCTAAGCTCTAATCCCTAAACCCTAAACCCTAACCCCAAACCCTCAACCCCCAAACCTTCAAAGCCTTGCAAGCCGAAGGCACGGGCTGGCGGGGCAGAATGGCCCGATTGGTGGCGTCGCCCATGTTCGAGGCGCGGACCCATCGGCCCGAAAGCCCCTAAACCTTCTACAGTAGGAACCTGATTAAGAAACCCTGGGGCTGTATTAGGGTCCTGAATATGAGCCCTAATGTTTTGGGGTTATAGGGCCAGGGTTTCTTAATGAGGTTCCTACATTACAGTATTCAAAACCTGCAATAACAGTGGCAAGGACATTTTTCCTTCATTGCGATTGAGTCTGAAGCAGACGCACGCCTGGCATAACGAATTCTGGTGGGCCGCCAGAGATGGCAGTTCAATCTGCCAAGCACCCGGCCATGAGGAAGGATTAGGTGGAGGAGATGCAACCGGCCAAGCACACGGCTTGAAAAAACCGTCTACCTCTACACCCTCCGACCTTAAACCGCGAGGGCACCTGCAATCGTGCCTTCTCCCGAATTAGGATCAACCAACAAGCCATTGCTCAGCATCCAAAGGACGCACTGACACTAAGGCACAAAAACGCTACGAACAGCTGCTAGCCCAGAGCATCTTCCTCTAGGGGCAGGGAGAGGCGAACTACCGGGCTACACCCCACATGGCGCTTCAAAGGCGCCATGCCCGCTCAGACCATGAGCGTGTGTACAGTGACAGTGGTATATACACACACGCATGTCGAGCAACTCAATCTCACGTTGCACGTTTCACCGCTGTACAAACTACTCAGGGGGCAATCAGGCAATCAGCTCAGTAGTATTCCCCACTGGCATAATTATTCCTGTTTCACTCGGCTCCTGGCGATAACTCGTCAAGGGAGTCGATGGCCCCGGACTTGTACAAACCTGGTACCCTTGCGGGGCTGAAACTCGCCATCGATGTTGGCGGAGATCCTGGCCAGGCCGGCCAACATCTCCTCGCCCAAAATTTGTGCGAGTCCATCGCCATCAACTTGAACATCTCCTTGACGATGTCTGCCTTCGTCTGGCCCGCCTCATCTTTCTGGTAGCGGAAAAGCTTCAGGTCCTGGACCTTCTGCTCGTTGGCCTCGTAGCCAGGGTCTTTTTGAAGCCAGCCGCAACCTCTGCTGCGGCGTAGCGTGCGAGCTTGTTCAACATGGCCACCCTTCACAACATGTCCTTCGCGCCCATGAAAGCCATCACTTCGGCTGAGGTGCGGTAGATGCCAGCTTTGAGCTTGATGAACCGGATGCCATCGGACGAGCCCCTGTTCTGTGTTTTCATGCAGCCAGCCGACAGCATATCCTAACGATCCACTGTTCTGCTTGATGGCGTGTGGCTGGAAAGCCAGCGTCTTCTTCAAGCCAGCCGTAAACTCCCTCGCGCCCATGAACACCATCACGGAGGGCCAAACCTGAATGCCCAGTTTATGCATGGCACGCATGCCATCCTGCGCCGTAGCCGGCAGACGCACCCATGGCGGGTGCTGGGGCGCTTCAATCTTCCGCGCTATGCGGCAATTTGGGCCCTGTGGCAAGGACAAGAACACTAACAACAACACTAACAAGAGCAAGAGCGAGAACAAGAGCAAGAACAATGTCACTTGCAAGAACAATAACAGTAACATGAACAGGAACGTGAACAACAACAAAAGCAGTAACAAACAACCACACAGACACAAACACTTTCACTAGCACTAACACTAACACTAAAAATATCAATAACAATAACATAGTGAGCAACCACACTAGTAATTTTAATACGTGTGGTAATCTCATCATAGTTGACGTGGGGCTGTTGGCTCGGGCCGCATGATTGTACAGACTTCTGGGCCTTTATTGATCAAATACCAGGTTTTCTGTCGGGAGCTCACTCACTGCGCTCGCTAGAAAAAACACTGGTAATCAGACAAAGCTCTCAAAGCAACAGCCCTTGAGTTGCAGGTGATCTTCGCCGTTGCCATCCTTATCAACACCGTAGTCATGGCCGTTCAGGCCAGGGGAGGGTTTCAGGCGTTTCAGGCTTTTCAGGGCTTAGGGGTTGAGGGTTTAGGAAACGGGCTGCAAAACGTGTTGCTGTATCGATTGCTTTAAGGAGTACTGTAGGGGATGCTGCAGTAGACCTACAGCGATCCCGTGCTGCGATATAGGACAAGAAACTTCTCAGACGGGGAGAGACAGAGAGAGTCAGAGAGTCAGAGAGTCAGAGTGTCGGACAGAGAGAGAGAGACCTCCCTTTTTTGGGTCCCCGGAAACTTCCCGGTGGTGTTGCCGAGTCGTAGTTTCAATTTCAAGTTACCCCGAACCTTCAGTGATGCGACTCAAGGAACCAAATCCTCGGCATCAAGCTTCAACCTTAAAGCCTCGGCCCTAAACCCGAGGCCCAAAACCCTATGTCCCGAGCCCCCTCAGCCCTAAAGCTCCGTTCTGCCGAGGTGCAATACCGGGGTCTGGGTGTGGGCTTCTACGTGGGCCACCACAGTGTGCGAAGTCCGGCCGAGGATGCCTGGAAGTGATTCTTGATTTAGGGTTTAGAGGTTAAGTGTTTAGGGGTTTAAGTTTAGGGTTCTGGAGTCGCAATACCTTTCGGATTTGCCCGGAATCAGGGGCTAAATGCTAAAGCCTAAACCCGACCTGAGATTCAAGAAGCCTTCCCACGCGGAGCTGCCAAGGTGCCATTCAGAAAAACAGTTGGTCGTCTTTTCAGGGTTTCGGGTCTAGGGGTACAGAATTGCCAAAGCCTCAAATGTGACTCTCTTAATTAGGTGATCTGTATGAAACATGACAGTGCCTTCGTACGGGTTTGGGGTTCAGGATGCTAAGGTTCCAAGGCTCGAGGGTTTAGAGTTTAGGGTTTCAGAGTTTGGGCTTTGGCAATGGGCTTTGCGGATTGGGCTGGGCAGCGCGATTCCGAAGGCCACTGACCACTGTGGAGCCCCCAGAACAGGATGCTATGCCACGCCGAAATTCGACACACTCAAGACACAAGCCCTGAAGCCCTAAACCTGAAGCCCTACAACCCAAGACTTGAACTCCGAGCCATGAAGCTCTGAAGCCCCCCGCCCAGAACCCTAAGCGCAGTTCGCTACGCCGCAAGCCGAAGTTCTGCCGAAAGGAGCTGTGGCCAGGGGCTGAAGACACTTTCTACGGCCTGGAGCTCTTCTTCGGGGCCCTCTTCAGCGTGGACCCGCTGTGGGAGGGTTGAGGGCTGTAGGGTTTTAACTCGTTGTTGTTTGTGTCGTTAAGAGGTGCAGAGTCTTGGGGCAAAGATTTAGATGGTTTAGGGTTCCATCATCTCAAACCCTTCAAACCCTTCACCCTAAGCCCTAAACCCTAAACTCTAAACCTTAAGCTCTGAACCCTAAACCCTAAACCTTTTTTCATGTTGGGGGACATTGGCCGGTCAAGGCTTTGCCTCTAGGGTTCCCCAGTAGTTCCCTTTTTGCCCTTTTTCTTTTTGGGCCCTTTGGGAGCCGCCTTATAAAGCCCAAATAGTCGGAAAATGCGTACCCTCACTACTAAGGGGCTACTGGGGCCGAGCTTCTTCACACCAAGGAACCTTCTTTCCCACTCCCGTTCCCTCCCTTTCCCTTGGTGATCTGTATTTCTCCAAAGCCCTTGGCCCTAAACCATCAACCGTTGACCCCTTAACCCTAAACCCCTTCCTGGCGAAAAGGAGCTTCTCTTCAAAGTCCTTGCTATGGACTACCGCTTCTTCATGGATATTTGGAATCTCTTGGAGCTCCGGGATGCAGCAAATTAGATTACATGCCCCAAGCTGCCAGACAAGAATCCTGAACTGCTGAGTTTTGTTCAACACCTGCACGGAAAAAGCAGAATCATACATGCGTGAAATGGCACGAAACGAATCAGGTCCGCAATGCATGGCTTTTGTCATTCTCATTTTGTTTTGAGACGATTGCATTCCATTGCGACTATATTTGCAAGCCCTTCCCACTTGTAGCGACGGTTTCTTATGCTTTGCCTTTCTTGCCAGTTCTCTTACACACTAAACTCTCCCTAAACCCTAAACCCTAAACCCTGAGCCCCTAGACTCCAAACTCTAAAGCCTACAGCCCACCGTGGTTTCAGGGCCTACGTCCAGACTGGCGTTGTCGAAGGCTTCGGCTTGAACCCTCTTCGGGTACTCTGGGGCCTCAATGTTTAGAGTAGGGTTCGGGGGCCTAAGCCCTAAGCCCTACTTCGGGGCCGCGGGTTGAGGGATCTAGAGGGCTGAAGATTTCCGACTTGCATGGGTTTTAGGGTTTAGGGTGTAGGGTTCTGGGGTTGTAGGGTTTACCCAAACGCCAACCCCGAACTCTACACACGTCTGAAGCCGAGGATTTTGCTGTGGTTGTCGGCTGGTTTATTGACACGCTGGCCGCGGGAGTCTTCCCAGCATCCTGGCAACCGATTTATCTGCGGTTTAGGGTTTGTGGGGTTTTCAGGGTGTAGGGTTTGGGCTAAGGGTTTTGAACGGCTGCAACAACGAGCGTGGACTATCTGCTCGTGCATAGTCCTGAGTAGGGAGGACTCCATTTGCTCCGTCACTGTCGCTGCAGGCTCAGGACCCGAAACCCCAAACGAATCCGAAGAAACCCTTGACGCTCAACAAACTACGGAAGAACCCTCATAGTAGTGCTTGTAGGACCCCTTAAAGAGCCTCAAAGGAACCCTAAACCCTAAGCCCTGCTAGAACCTTCAACTGGAGCCTACAAGCAAGCCTAAATATCGGACGCTGCCAAAGCTTCGACCTCCGGCACAACAAAAACTTTGCGCTTCAGGGTTTTGGGGCTGTGGGCTTGGATTTTAGGGCTTGGGGTTCAGGGTTTACAGGTTTAAGGTTTAGGGTTTTAGGCTTCGGTGTCCTTGACTTAGGTAGGTTGCAGGGTTGAGCCTTTTTGGTATATGGCCTTTAGGGCTTAGTTTTTTGTTTGGAGGAGTTGAGGTTCAGTCGAAACCCTGGACTTGAAGCACTAAACTCTAATTTTTCCGAAGCCTTCAACACTTAACGTCTTTATGAATTGACCCGTAGCACCCAAATCCTAAAAAGCCCCGCCTCCCCCAATCAGAGACACACTTTCGCCCCCATGGCAACGTTAATGTAAGGGCCTAAAGAATTACCAACATTATTTGGGGGTCCTGAGTATAACTATAGTATAAAAAACACCAAAACTCTACTCTAATTGTTAAGGACCCTACATTAAGCCGACTCAGTTCCAACACTGTCTCCTTTTGCGCTACTCGGGAAGAAGCAGAGGCCACCCCAGTCTTCGAGGAAAGCTAACCTCCCAACTTCGACCCTACCTCGCTTAGAGTGCCACTCAGGTAGATCCACTGTTGCTGCGACTTCTGCGACTCCTGAAGCTGCTACTTCCCCGGATGAAGATCGGTTTAGGGCTTTAGGCTTTGATGGTGCAGAGTTGGCGGTTTGAGGGTCGTGTCGGCTTCCTCGTGGGCATCCCGTGTCCGCTCAGCTTGATTGTTCAACGGCGAGAGCCGACTGCGCCAGGTTTCGCATGCTGCGCCTGGTGAGGACCCGTCTGGGTTCTTGTTAAGCACATTATTTAAGCTGCCATAATCAGGAGCATGCTCACTGCAGATCCCTACTATGATGGCTTAAGTTAAATTACTTAGTGAATAAGAGCCCAGCCATGCCACGCCAATTCAGGCTCTGGGGTGGAGCCTGCGCGAAGTATGGGGCTTTCAGGGTGCAGAATCGCCCCCAGACTCTATGCCTGAAGCTCTGAGCCTCACATTCCAACTTTTGGAGTTTCAGCCTTTGGCCCGGAACAACATAGCCCTGGACCTCAAAGCCAAGACCCTCAACACGACTCTAAACCCTACACCCTAAAACCCACCCCCAAAAAAAACCTAAACCCTAAACCCACAAAAAAACCCTAAACCCTAAACCCCACAAACCCCTAAGCCCGAAGCTCTTAAATCAAGACGCCGACACCTGAGACCCGGAAGGACCATCCAAGGCTTCGACTCCTTGTATGCAGGGAGCTCAGTATGCTGGAGAGCTGCTTTTCCGGGTTTGCGGGCTTTGGGGGGTTTTGGGGTTTTGGGTTTTGGGTTTAGGAGACTTAGGGGCTCAGGGTTTAGGGCGTTGGGATATCGCTGTGGAGTCATCGCGAGGTTCAAGAAGGATCCATATGGAGGTTCTTGAAGAAGTTTCTGGAGCATGATCTTCTTGAGGTGAATTGTCATGAAAGCTCATTGCAACAACAAAGGGCCGCCGAACTGGATTCTGACTTGAAGCAACCCCGTGTTGATGTTTGTGGCTCCGGGTCAGAGTCTGGATGGATCTGGGTAGTTTTGGGCTTCTCGAGCATTGTGTGTTTGAGGTGCCTTTAGGGTATGTTTCCCTAGCCCTGAAGCCTAAATTAGACCCTAAACCCTAGGCCCCTAGAGCCTGTAAGCCCTAAGCCCTACAGCCCCCAAGCCTAACCCTAATGGCTTCCGTACTTGAGGCTTTCTGGTCGAGGGTCTAGGGTTTAGGGTTTAGGGTCCTTCTCGTTCTTTTGCGGTGATAAAGACCAACCGCATGGAAGGAATGTCTTTGGGGGTGTTTGCTGTTAACGTTTGTGTACCTTGCTGTGAACAAAAAACTGTAGAAGGGGCTTTTTGCGCAGAATAGCCCAGGTTTGTTCCACGTAGCATCTGACCATAAGTCTGGCTTCTGGCATTCATATGCTCCTGTGATATTGCCATCAGGCCTGCCGTAAGCAGAATCTAGAATCTAGAACAAAGAAGGGTTTTGGGTAGGCAGCTTGGTGTCCTACGTCAGGCACAGAAACAGGCTGGTTGTCTCAGAAGGATTGCGGATAGCAGCCAGAAGATTCTCGGCCGTCCCAGGTTGGAGTACTTAAACTTGAAGCAAACACTTCGATATGTAGGAACTTCGGCCGAACCATACCCACGTAAGCCCGAGGTGATGATCACATCCATCAAAGGGAGCATCGCAGCCTTGTTTTGGAGCGTGATTCTGCACCCGGGCTGCTATGAGGAGTCCCAGGAGCCTCTTCTTGTTCGGGGGCTTAGGTTGGATGGCTCTTGGGCCTTGGGTTTAGGGTTCAGGCTTCAGGGACCCAAGATTGCTTGATGTTATGGTTCGAAGCTGCCTGAAAAGCTTGAAGAAGCCTCAAGGCCAAACCCTACAAACCCTACACCCAAGGTCCCTTCAGTTCAGAGTGGCCTAGGCCCCAAGCCAGGAGGTAGTTCGAACTTGGCCCGCCTAAACCCTAAATCCTAAACCATAGGCCATCAGCCCCAAACCCTAAACTCGAAGCCATAAGCCCTAAACCGTGCATCCTAAACCCTACAGGCCCTAAGCCATAAGCCCTTCATAACCCCGAATCCCTAGACCCCTTAAAGGAACCCATAAGGGAACCCTAAACCCCCTAAGCGAAACCCTAAGAGCCCAAAGCATGCCGAAGGTTGGTCCTGGTCCTGATGATGGTCTCCCTCTTCCTGGTGCACCTCGACCTGAGGGTTTAGGGTTTAGGGTTTATGGTTTAAGGTTTAGGGTTTAGGGTTTGGGGTTTGGGGTTTAACGTTTCGGGTTTGGGATTTGGGGTTTAGGGTTCAGGGTTTAGGATTTAGGGTTGTCCTGTTTGGGGGGAATAGGCAACGCCACCGATATAGACCTCATTCCTGCAGCAGGACTGCCTGAAAGAAGGTGTCTCAACCGATCTGTCGATTTTCTGTGGCAAAGCCCAGACCCTTAAATCCCAGACCCCAAAACATTGACTCCCAGAATTGTGGGGAACCCTGAACCAGAAACCGTACGTGCCCTATAAACTCGAAGCCAGAAAGTTGGAACACATGTTTTCCTCATGCTCTTCAGGTTAAAGTGTAGGGAATCCCAGCACACCTCATCTTAAAACCCTAAACCCGAAACCCTAAGCCCTAAACTTTACCCCTAAACCGTAAACCCGAAGCTAAGCCCATGCTCCAACTTCTGGGGTTCACTACAGGGCCTTTGGGGAGGACAAACCTGGGACTGGCCCAGCCAAGCCTTTCCGGCGCCGCCGTCGCCTTCGCTCTGTAGCTCCTGGGGTGTTGCGAATTTAGCGGGATTCTCCGCACAACCCTAAACCCCACCTATAGTCTCCGTTGTAGTCTCTTTTTTTTGGTTTAACCAATTGTATATTTAGGGTTTCATAAGGTAACCCCCCAAAAAAGGAACTACAATGGAGACCATAGGTAGGCCCTAAACCCTAAATCCTACTAGCTAAGTCTATGGGTTTAGAAGTTATCATGCCATCTTTGGATTTCTGATACTACGAGTTGAGGTCTGTGTTAGGGTCGTCCGGTTTCTGATATGCATATTTGTTTGTCTATGTCTGTTTCGTTGATGTAGGGGTCCAGACTGTTGACTGATGTAGCGTTCCCAAAGTGTGGGCATGTAAGCCGCCTGCTTTTCGGGTCAAGTCGGATGTCTAGCCCCAAACCCTAAACCCAGACACCCCTAATCCCCTAAAACCCGGAACCCCGAAAGCCCCAAGTTCCCACATTGGATTCAAGGTCGGCATTGGTGGGTTTAGGCTTTTGCCTCTCGAGCTCTAGAGGGCCTAAGGCGCCTAGGGCTTCGTTTACAACTTATCCTGGAGGCACAAGACACCAGCCCTCCGTCAGCAAGTTCTGCCATCATTGACCGTCGGCACTCTGCTTCATCCGGGTATACATGTTTCAGTGTGGAATTAGGGGTGAGAGGAGAAAGACCCCGAAAAGGCACCCTATTTATAAATAGGGGGGCTACAGCTTGGGATTGGAAGTGCTGTTTAGCGCCTCATGCGGTTGGCTTCTTGCGGTGTACTGTATACCCAGAAACTTCAACATTTTTTTTGAACATAACTCGCCAGTAAACACATGAAAGCGAGAAAGCGCGAACCCCGCAACGAAGGACAGCAATTCTAAAAGGATGCATCCTTCTTGAAAAGTACACCGTATAGTGCTTACTCGGAGCACAACTTGTCGAGCAAGTCGCTCAACACCGTAGTTCTGGCTGCATCTGTTGCTTCCTATACTGTGCCTTCTTAGTGTACGAAGGTATGAATTATATGTTAGTTAAGACATAATTATATGTTTATTTATATTGTATATCTTATCTTATAACCCTCAGAGAGGAAGCTTTCTCGGGAGTGTCAGAAAGCGGGGGGCCGCGTCTGGCGGACGGAGAAAAGCGCACTAGAGGACCCTCACCTGCAACAAGCCCAGGTCTCGGTCTGGGTTTGGGTTTAGAAAACTGGACTTTTGGCTTAATATAGGGCCTGAAAGAATTACCAATACTGGGTTGGGGGATCCTTATTATAATTATGGTATCATGGGTCCCAAAACCCTGTTCTGATTATTAAGGCCCCTACATCAATGGTGTAAAAAGGCTCAGAGATCAACAGTTTAATGACAACACTGAGAGGGTCATGGACTACTGTGAGCGGACAAGCTTGGCAATTCGAACTGGGTGACCTCTACTTTCTGATCCAATGCAAACCCGATCTTCCAGATCGCATGTTCGGGAGGCAAAGGCCCTATAACCCTATACTAAAATCGGAACCCCCCATCTGTGAAACTCAGGCGCCCTAAACCCTAAACCCTAAACCCATCCAGCAGGCTTGGCCAGCAACTACTGTCCTTCTTGATGCTCTCCATTGCCGTCTTCAGGGCATTCGTCATTTCTAGCTCCTTGCAGCTGGGTTCTAGGGTTAGGACTTAAGGGTGCAGGAGTTAATGTCGGGACTGCTTGCTCTGCTTTGGACCCTCTTAGAATTCAATTAATACCTGACTCCCAAACGTACCTTTTTTTTGCATATAAGACAGTGAATGACCCGTGGAGACAGGGACTGGAACCCTAAACAAGGAGGTGCTTTCGGGTGCAGGTCCGGCTTTCTATGCTAGTACGGTTAGCAAGGGCTGCTTGTCTGTGAGGCCGAATCAGTAGGGTTTAGGTTTTGGTTTAGGGTTTAGGGTTTAGGGTTTAGCGTTTATGGCCAACATAGAGTCGGTATGGGCACATTCCTCTAGGTCGGCTCGCAAGTGGAAGTGTTGTCACTCAAAATCAAAAATGAGCTGTCAAGCTTCCACAACGCTCCGGCCTCTCAGCCCCAAACCTTAAACCCGAAACCCTAAACCCTACTAAACCCTAAACCCTAAACCTATAAACCCGAAACCCTTAACCCTAGTAAACTCTAAACCCTAAACCTTAAGCCCGAAACCCTACTAAACCCGAGCCAATCTCGGACTTCTCTGACATACCAACTGGAGCTCCGCAGCACCGCTCCTTTGAACCCAAAGGAGTTTGAGCTTAGCAATGAGGGGCTCCAAACCCCCAGAAGCACAAGGATCCATCACCGATTAAATGCTAGACCTGGAAACCCTCAACCGCAAAAGCCTAAACACTTAACTTCCAAGCCGAAACCCTAAACCCTGAACTACAACAGGTAAACCTCAAGCGCCAATCGCTAAACTAAAATCCCCCTAAACCCTAAACCCTAAACCCCTAAACCCAGCCCCGAAACCTACCCCACAAATGCTTCGCCTGTCCTTGCGCACCTGGTGACTGGACTTCTTCTTCTTATCCATATCCTCATGAGGGGTTTAGGGTTTAGGGTTTAGGGTTTGGGGTTTAGGGTTTTAGGGTTTAGGGTTCAGGGTTCAGGGTTCAGGGTTTAGGGTTTAGGGTTTAGGGTTTAGGTCTTGGGGTCTTGCTGCGGGGCTTAGGTAGAGTTTAGGGCTTAAGGTCTTGGATTTTTATTTGCTTTGTTAGAGTTAAAATGTGGATTGATTTGAAGGAGTCAGCTATGCGCAAGAATCGGGCTTGGGTCTATTTACAGGGTCAGGCGTCTCAAAAAAGAGGGCAAAAAGTAGGGTAACTGTATCTATTATCATTATGGCGAGCCCCCCTTAAGCTACCTATTAGCGCAAGCCTTCAAGTAAGGTAGAGATCTGAACTCTCAGCAGTAGTAGTAACAAGTATCTCATTGCATTTTCAGTGCTCACAAACGCCGGGTACAGCGGCAGAACTCCTCAAGAGTTAACTAACTAAGTTGGAGACAGAGGTGATGATCACGAATGTCCTCCTCGGGGGAGACCAAGCATGCATTCCTGCACCCTAAACCAAAAAAACCCTAAACCTTAAACCGTGGCTACTTTTCAGATCTTCTCAACATCATCAACTTCCACCGCCTTGTCTATGTGACAAGGGTCGTGGAGCCAATCGTAGTATGAATATAGCGGTTTAGGGTTTAGGGTTTAGGGGGGCCTTAATAATTTCAACAGGCTTTTGGGTTCCTTTATAATATAAATATAGAATCAGGAGCTCCCCAAAATAATATAGGTAATTATTGAAGCCCCTATAGTAGTAACCCTAAACCCAAAACCCTAAACCCTATAGGTAATTATTGAAGCCCCTATAGTAGTAACCCTATACCCAAAACCCAAAACCCAAAATCCTAAAATAGTAGCACCACAGAGGGACCAAGGGGTCTTCGACTTTCCCAGCCCTAGCCCTCCCGACTCAGGTGCTGGATGCGGCCGAGTTGGTATTCTCCGCTAATGTAGGCTTTAGGGTTTTAGGGTCTAGGGTTAGGGCTTTGGGGGGTTTTTAGGGTTTTAGGGTTTTAGGGTTTAGGGTTAAACAATGACCAATACCTTTTTTTTTGTTTCCGGGGGGCGGGGGTCCTTATAATAGTTATAGTATAATGAGCCCCAGAACCCTACTCGAAAAAATACAGTAAGGCTTCTATATGTTAACAATTCTTTCTTTGGACAGCCATGATCACTGCGAAGTCCGCGGATGATCTCCAACTGCACTGCAGGCTGGAAGATGGTTGGCAAAGGCAGTGCTTGCAATCGGCGCTGTAGTCCAGCAGGAGCCGCAACCTTTGGTCTCATATGTATAGATGCCGAATCTGTTACCCTAAACCCTAAACACTAGCTGTTGGCCCTCACTATGAGAACACATCGCACCAGCGTGTCCACCTGAGATGCTCTGCACAAGAATGGGTCGCCACCTTGACTTCCACGTATATATATATATATATATATAACTGTGTATNNGGGTTTAGGGTTTAGGGTTACACTTATAATAAAGACCGGTATGTTATATGTGAAGGTTGTTGTTAGGATCTTTTGCAAGATACCCTCAACCGCAAGACCCAGACCTAAGGAATATATCTTACATCGTTTCAAGGACCCCTCTATAACTTGAGGCATGCTCCTAACTGAAGCCCTTATCTTTACTTGAAACAATTAAAACCTCACAGGACCCTTATGGAACCCTGAACGCCTGCACCCTAATCCCCTAATCCAGGGGCCTAAATAACTACTTATACT